TGCTGCAATGGCAGGTGAATCGGGCCAGAGACACCTGCATTCAGCAAGATGCCAACCGTGCGAAACTAGCCACATGGTACCTTGAGCCCAGCATGCTCCCACGTAGTGACCATCACCGTGAGGTATTACTGTCAGGGCATCCCAACCAATGGCCTAGTGACATCTTGCAACGGTGGGCGGACTTCTTACAGCCAAATCAGCCTGTCCACCTGTATGTAGTGCAACCAGACCCACCTGGAGGTCTACCTGACATTGTAGCGCATGTCCTAGTCGTCCAGAATGCCCCAGCTCAACAGGCAGCCGCACTAGTCTCGGTGACAGAGCTCATTGAAGATCCATGGCATCCCTCAAGGTTTGCACTCTTCCTTAGCAATCAAGTTACATGTGATGACCTGTTTGAACACGCCGGCATTCCGCAGGAACAGGTTGCCACCACACCTGGTATTGGTGCATACCATGGCACAAGTCACATACCTCCAGGCAGCTCATACCCCGTGCACCATGGCTTTGCCTTTGAAGTGGTTACTGACTCACTTGACTTTGAAGGCGATGAACAGGCCCTGCTCCAAAGAACCCACCAAGCGCAGGTTGTACGTGCCCCCAAAGAAGCCTTAGAGAACATGACAACCTCCGACAGCCCGACCAGGTACATCCAAGGAGCAGCACAAGCCATGCAGCAGCTTACTAATATCATTGCCAAGATGGTAGCTGTACTTGCACACAGCCCCACGCTCAGGTCACTGCCTCAGGAGGTCCGAGAGACTGATGCCGCCATGAGCCCACAGAAGCACCAGTTCATCGTACCAGACATCGCTGCCCTGAGCTGCACAGCACAGATGGAGCAGGTGTCCATTGACACATTGCACAGATGGCAACATCTGGCGGCCATGAGGCCTCAGCAAGCCAGACCCCTGGCTCCCATCATGACATGGTACGTTGACCATGAACGATTCCCACAATGTTTTGTCCCCAGAGAGGTTTTCGTTCCAAGAAACCCAGCCCACTGGCAACAAGCCATCCTCAGAGCATGGAATGATTTTCACTTACCAACCCAAGCTGTTGAGGTAGTGCTAGTTCAACCTAACCCTGTAGGGATGGAGGACCATGTTGCTGCCCATGTCCTTGTGCTTCAACAACAAGCCCCAGGTTTCACCACAGTGCTACTGACCACCATCGATAGTGCAAATCCAGACATGCGCAGACGACACGCCACTATGGTCCCAAGTGTCATTAGTCGCACGACGCTACTCGCCCTGGCTTTTCACCCACAGGACTGCCAGCACAGCTCCAACACATGTGATGCCTGGGTAGGAGATGATGCACTTGAAGAACAGGACCGCATCCAACTGACCGAGGGTCGGTCATGCACTGCCGCCATCCACAGGCGCCCCATGCCGACCACCGATGGTCAGGACCCTTGGGGCAGGATGGTTGCCAACCCATGCAGGTTTCGTGTCCCGATTTGCCTTCAAGCTGCAATCCCGCATAATTCGTGCCTTGTGCCAGTTGACCTTGATGAAACCAAGCCGCAACTTCTCTGGTTTGCAAATGAAGCCTGGAAGCTTGCTCTTGAGCAGGAAGAGCCATTGCCACTCCTACCCTTACCTGACGGCATGACCATCCCCGACCCTGCGTACTGGCCACTTCTGCAGCCACCACCCACGTCCACCAGTGATGCCCTCAGCTACACCCTCTACCTAGATGGTGCAGCCAATGGTCATGATGCAGGCTGGAGTGTCATTGTTGTTGCATGCCATCCTGAGGGTGAATCATTCATTGGATGCCTCCTTGGCACTGTTCAACTTGGATCAGCTCACCCAAACTGGCTTGGTGCCGACACCGCAGACAACATTGCAGCGGAGCTGACTGCAATGGTGGTGGCCCAAAATTTGGCCATGAGATGGGAAGGCAAGTACAGCTTCTGCATACGCCCTGATTTATCCCTCAGCCGAACGGTAGCCACCACAGCCACCACATGCAGGTCAAATCAGGCACTAGCAAAGCTGTGTGGAGCCCTGGGTCTATGGCTAGGAAACAGAGTCACCATACAGGAAATCCGAGGGCACAAGGGCCACGCATGGAATGAACTAGCAGATGCAGTTGCAAAATGGGCCATGCACCAACGCTGCGACCCACATTTGCAGCAGTTCACCCAGCTTCATGAACTGGCCACCAACCCACACGATGTTGACTGGGTATGGATGCAAACCACCCATCCTGCCCTTGCGGCATGTTTCCCCCCGCTCACTCAACAGCAAATCATGCAATTCACCAAGCCCAGCCTCCAGCTTGGTGTTGTACCCACTGAACGCATGCCGGTAGCACACCAAGATGCCGCCACCGCTTGGCGCCTAACGATTTGCACAGCAAACGTGCTTGCCTCTGAAGTTTGGGCTCACCATACCGCCGGCACCAAACGCACAGGCCAAAGAACAGTGCGATTAGACCAGCAATGGCACAATGCCCAAATTCATGTAATAGGTGTGCAAGAAGCACGCACTCCCCAGGGCCGCTTCCATGCACCGCATTACCATATACTAGCCTCCGGTGCCCACATGAAGAGAGCACCACTCCTCGGCTGTGAATTGTGGATCCACAAGACCCTCCCGGTAGCCAAGGACGTGGATGGTAACCCTATCGTGTTAGGCAAAGCCATTTTTACCACCCAGCATGCCGATCCAAGACGGCTCTTTGTTGAAGCCCGTTTAGGCCATACAGTCTATGCTTTTGTGGTCCTTCATGCACCCAGCCTGGCCCATGGGAGCCAAGGGTCGCAAGATCCTACTGCACTAGCCAAGCAATGGTGGCTTGAAACCCAGGCATTGTACGACAAGCACGTCACGGCCACTGCACAATGGGTCTTCATTGATGCCAATGCCCCGCTTGACGCAGGCGATGGTACCCTCATCGGACCACACGGTGCTGAACCCGCCAACCAGGCCAGTGAACTGTTTGAGGAGTTCATCCACATGCATCAGCTCACAGTACCTTGCACCTTTCCCCAAGTCCATGAAGGACCAACTACCACCTGGACCCACACCACAGGCAAGAAAAGCAGAAAAGACTATGTCCTGTTGTCCAAGGAGCTGGCCCCCCTGGCAAACAAAAGCTGGATTGACGTTCATCACGATACCACTTTTGCCCATGAAGACCACCTACCTGCGGTCCTGCGATGCTCAGGTTGGCTGCCCACCTCCAATGCTGGCCCCCCCATTGCGTGGGATGAGCCTGCAATGCTGGACCCACAGAAGGTCGCTGACTTTCAAGCTGCCTTGCATACCCTGCCACTGCCGCAATGGCAGGTTAATGTGGACGACCACGCAGCCCTATATGAGCAACAAGTCCTTGCCCTTGGACGGCAGTTTTTTGCCAAGAAGCCCAGCAAAACACGCCCCATCCCACTGCATCCTCAAACGCTCAGTGCCATTGCCTTCAAGAGACACGTCCTTGACTTTGGCCGGCAAGCCGAATGCCTTCACCACGCCGACTTCAAAGTAGAGCTCCGAGCCATCGAAAAGGAAGTGACTCGAATGGTCAACACTGACATCCGAGCCTTCTACGATGACCTGTTGCAACAAATCCAGACTTCTGGAGAGCTTGCTAATCACCGGCTGGTCTTCCGCATTTTGCATAGACTTGGACGTAAAAAAGGAGCCAGTGCAATGGGACCGAAGCCATTGCCCATGATCCAGAAACCAGATGGCACTACAGCCAGCTCTTACCTTGACCAGCAGCAAACGTGGATGCAACAGTTTGCAGGGATAGAGGCTGGCATCCCCCGCTCATGGGAACAGCTTGCCGACCAACATGCCTCCCAGTCACCGGACATGCCATGTCATGACATTGAGCCAGAAGCGTTCCCTGGACAATGGCAGATCCGAATGCTCATAGCCAAGCTCAAAAGGGATAAAGTCCCTGGCCCTAACCTCATTCCGCCAGCATTGCTGAAGGCAGGAGGGCATGTTGCAGCCAAGCAACTGTCCGTGCTTTACGCCAAGGCCGCTGCCAACTCCCGTGAGCCATTGCCTTGGAAAGGGGGGGTCCTAATCCCACTGTGGAAAGGTAAGCTGGCGCCAAGCATTGCAAGTGGATATCGAAGCATCTTTATTTCGAATTACACGACCAAGCTTTATCACCAGTGCTTTCGAGCCCACCTCGTACGGGCGTGGGAGCAAAGCTTGACGCATTTACAATGTGGTGGCAGAAAAGGCATCGGGGCCGACCTGGCCCACCATATAGTCCAATCTCACCAATCTTGGTGCAAGCACAAAGCGGTACCCTCGGCTGCAGTTTTCTTTGACCTGAAATCAGCCTTTTACATGGTTTTGAGACAGGCTTTCACATGCATACAGTCCCATGACGATGCATTCATGGCTGCAATGTACCACTTTGGCCTCACCCCAGCTGACGTCGACCGACTTTTGAGTGCAGCCAAAACCGATGAAGCCGCCAAGCAAATGCCAAAGCATATGCAACACATCCTCCAGGACCTGTTGCACAACACGTACTTCACAATCCAAGGTCTTCAAAACCCCTGCCAAACCACCAGAGGCACGCGCCCAGGCGACCCAGTGGCTGATGTCTTATTCAACCTGTGCATGCACCTCATCCTGACGGATTTCCGCACGCATATGGCAAGCCACATTGATGTTCCCTGGCAAGGCACTGCCACCCCGGTGGTGGACCTTGAAACTTGTCCTGCCATGCCACCAGAGGGATATGTGGATGTCACATTTGTTGATGACTGCGTGGTTCTTATCCATGGACGCAGCAATGATCGTGTAGCCCAAACCATGAAGGCTGTTGTTGTAGCGCTGGATCAAGCAGCCGAAAAAAGAGGACTCAGCATCAACTATGATCGTGGCAAGACCGAGGCGTTGTGGACGGTCATCGGTAAAGGAGCCAGACAGCTCAAACAAGCCCTTTATGCAGATGGCCACTCACTCCAATGGGAGTCCAACAACAAGAAGTACACCCTGCAGCTCTGTCATGCCTACAAACACTTGGGCACATGGCTGCAGTCGCACCACAAGCACAGCAAAGAGATCCTGGCCAGGGGATCTGCTGCAAAACAGCAATATGGCCAACTGGCAAGATCATTTTTCACCAAAAAATGTATCTCCCTGCCGGTCAAAAGTACAATCTTTCAGTCTTTAGTCATTTCAAAGTTACTGTATAACGTCCACACGTGGTCGACAGTCACACCAAAACAGATGCAAACACTCATCAACCACCTGAAAGCCCCAGCTGGCACCCTTCTGAAGGGACTGTTAATGGCACCGACGCGTTTCATGCATACCACGGAAGAAATGCTCGCCTGTGCAGGCATTTTGCCACCAATTGACCAGGTTCATGCCAACAGGCTAAGGTTCCTCGCCAGGCTTCTGGGAGCATGTCCACCCATCACATGGGCACTGCTGACCAACCATGATGGCCCTCACTCTTGGACAGCTTTGTGTATGGAGTCCTGTCAATGGATGCTACTGCATTACGACAGCAAGCTGCCCCTGGACAGCTCCTCCACCTTCCTTGATTGGGTCCGATTCATCCGCCTCGACCCAAGCTGGAAGGGCCGGCTGCGCAAGACAAGCAAGCTAGCCTTGTCCTATCACAGAGCTCGAGCCGAGCATGCAGTGTGGCAAAGACACTTTGATGCCAGGCTGGCAGCTGCCGGCGCCACCATACCGGACAAAGCCAAGCCCCAAGTGCCCGCCGAAAAATTGCAGTGCGATCTATGCCACAAAATCTTTGCATCCACTCGTGCCTTGGCGATGCATGCCACCCGAGAGCATGGATACAAGAAGAAAGTACGCTACTTCACGGTGGGAAGCATGTGCCACGCCTGTGGCCAAGACTTCCACACCAGAAAACGGCTTTCAGTGCACTACGAAAAGCAGCAAAAGTGCTATGATGTGATCCAATCTTGCTGGCCCCCATTTCCCGCTGAAATGGTCCAAAGCCTGGACGATGCAGACAAAGAGCATGAAGCACTCCTCCGCAAGCAAGGCTGGTGGGCCTCGAAAGCGTTCCAACCGGTCCTCCAAACCTGCGGACCCCCATTACCACCAGCAGGATCAGAAGAGGCACAAGCAATGCACACCAAGATGGCACACCGACGCCCCAGTGATGACATGGCCTACAACCTGCTGCAGGGTACCCGGGTTGAGCGTTACCCTCAGAAGGCACCCACCCTGTGGTGGCATCGTCAGGACCTCCCGGCATTCATCATGCAGTCCCCCAAAGGACGCGACAATGCAGGAGGGGCGTTTTCCATGCATGGACTGGCCCGTGAAACAGCACTGCTGCATGTCAGAGCGCTTGTCATTGTGCATTTCTTTAGCGGTTTCCGCAGGATGGGTGATATCCATCATATCATCGACCACTGCACAATGCAAACAGGAGCCCATGTATTCACCCTCTCGGTAGATCTCTGCATGCAAAGGATCAAGGGAGATCTTGCAACTCCGCAAGCTGCGCGGTGGTGGAAAGAGCGCATCTTGAGTGGGCAGGTGGTCGCTGCGGGTGGAGGCCCACCATGTGAAACGTTCACAGTCGCCAGACAATACGACGGAGGCCCCAGACCACTCCGCAGTGCAGCGCACCCATTGGGCATCCCTGGGCTGACCATCAGAGAGTGGAACCAGCTCCGCATCAGCGACCGGCTCCTGAGGTTCCTACTCGATGTGTTGGTAGCACTAGCCATGATGGGCATGAGCGGTTTTCTCGAGCATCCTCAGTTTCCAACCTGGTGCACTCGAGGATCCCCTGCCAGCATTTGGGCAACCGAAGCCCTCATCCAGCTGAAAAACCTGGGCTGTTTTTCAGTCGTGAGCTTCGATCAGTGCACGGTAGGTGCGTTGGGGAAAAAACCCACAACCCTCCTGCTCCTTCGGCTGCCCCGTGTGAGGGACATCCTGCTCAGGAGAGGCTGCTCTGGGCGTTGCAATCACCCACCGGGCTCGCATGTGGCCTTGATCGGCAGAGAGCTTGACGGCACCTTCCATACTGCAAAAGCCAAGGTATATCCATATGGCCTCAACAAGATACTCGGGGAAGCACTGTTCCAGGCTGCAACACAATGGTCAGACCTTGACGTGGCGCACAGCCTGCCGGATGACTTCACCCCGTATCTGGAACAGAGTTGCCACCATGCTGCAGTGGTCCAGCCGGACTACCATGGCGGAAGCTGATGAAAGGTCAGCCGCAACATGCACGGAGACCAAGCACCAAGACGGTGCAGCAGAGCAAATGGAAAAAAAATGGGGTTGAAACCACCAACCAGATCTTCAAGTGGCAGGTTTATGTTAAGAAGTCCCCCAACTGGGGCAATCAGACATATATTTTAGTGGGTGGAGTATGACCTGGCTAGCAAATGCTAGTGGAGTTTCACCATCAATCACAAAGCATGACGGGGATTTTAACTGGGAATACAATGGGATGTATAGTGGGACGTATAAGCAACATGATTCAAAACATATATGTCGAATGGGTCCAGACACCTCCTGAGAAGGTATAAAATACCACCTAAATCACCTCCCGCATACTTCCTAAGAACTACTATTTTGATCGAACGGGATGATATCATATGTATTTGAACATATTTGAACATGGGGTATACCTAAAAATGACCAGGAAAACAGGGAAACTGATGATTAACTTGTGGATGGAATGGAGTACCCTATAGACAAAGCCCTTTTAACCTCCAAAGTGCTTTTGAAAGATGACATTCTTATGGAAGACGCTGTGGGGGTCAATGGAGTTTGCCTGAATACAGCAGGAAAGCACTGGCAGTGGAAGGAAGATTCCTTGCCCAAGAAGACAAACTCACACAGCAAATATCTTACTCACAATTCATGGTTCATCTAGTTGTTTATGCTGTTTGTTCAAATAATTTTCAAACACATAGCTTGGGCTAGACTCATTGAAGTGCCAGGAAAACAGTCTTTTGTGATTGGGCACAATTTTTCAATCGGATGGACACTATTGCTTTTGGCCATGTGTATACGTATATATATATATATATGTATATACACTGTAATTATATAATAAATTAAAGTTTGGTGACTTGTTGGTACCCCCGAACCTCTAAAGTAATTTGCACTTCAGTTTAACTCCCTTGGGGTGGCCGTATTTTTAAGTTCCTTCCGCAGGCTGTTTTGGCCGCTAAACGCCACGTTATGGACTCTGCGCAGGGGTTGCACACCTAATTAAAGGCGCTTCAGGTTAGTTTCAGCAGGAAAGAATGTGACACGTTCCTATGACACAACTCATGTGTTCATTTTATATCTCATTAATTAATCATATTTACAATTAAGTATTATTTATATATGTGAAGGCTTGATTTCGGAAAGACATTTCAGCTTCAGTTGATGAACAAGCGCAGCAGCATAGCTTGAAGAAAAGGATGAATGCTAGGCGTTGGGTGTGCAACCCGCAGGAAACTCAATTTTCGGCCCCCTTGAGCGATTTGGTCACCAAAAACATTGCCACTTGGCAGGGCCAATTTTAGTTGTTCTTCAAGAACAGAACAACAAAGTTTTATATACGGATATGATATATTGATATATATATATATACACAATGTATATACATATATGTATATACATATTTACAATATATAATTATATATATACACACTATATATATATGTATATATATATATACACACAGAAATACAGAGTATGTATGTATATATATATATATACATGTAGATTCAGATGTGTTTTTGTTGGGAGAGTCCCTTCGCACGGTGGACTTGATGTTGATTTTTTTTAGATCGATCCCATGATGTGCTGGACAGTTGAAAGCCACCATGGTTTCTGGGGGCTGTTTCATACGAACGGGGAAAGGGATTACATTGTAACATGGGCCAGATTTTTTCAGAATCAGAAGCCTTACTTTCCCAGGATCCGCTTGGGATTCCGATGTGCATCAATGATGGCTTTGTCTGAAGTTGGGGTATCCCAAAATCAAGTGGTTATTGAAATAGACATTTGAAGCGTACACCCCATTTTCAGACACGCCGAGATAGTTTGAAGCCAGCAACCAGACAGAAACTACTGTTTTTAACATCTTCGAATTGTATCGACCAAATGCTTGAATACTATAGACATTCTATAGACTATAGACATCTATAGACTATAGACTATAAGCCAAGGAACAGAACTTTGAAACCCTCAGGCTTCGTTTCCTCCTTTTTCGACCTGTAAAAACCACCGAGGCGATAGGATATGGCGTCAAACGACGAGAGCAAAACCGCTGTACTGATGATTCACGGCGCGTTCAATCCAGTGCTCTGGCGATGCCGAAAGGGACCTGGGGACCCCAATTGGGGCCCTAGGGTTGGTGATTCCACATATGATTTCTTTCTATCCCCATAAATCACCCAAATGTTGGTAAATATTCCATACATGGAGCATATGAGTATTATGATCACCAGTGAAATGATTTTTTTTCAAGGTTCAAACGGCAAACTAGTTTCAGGGAGTCTCCGCAGAATTGTCTCTGTTGGATTGCTGGAGATGCTGAGATGTCTGTCGTCTTGAGAGCAGAACAAGAAAATCCCCAGAAAGTTACCATGTGTTCAGGTTGATTTGACATAGCCATGGTAAATCACAAGTTTTAATAGCTAAATGATAGTAAATCATCATCTTTTTTCGTGGATCACTTTCCATAACTGAAAATTACCAGAGGCTATTGTTGCATGGCTGGATACAGTTGCTGCAGTTGCTCTGACTTCAGGGATGGGACACTGTCAGAGTCCAAGCCTGAAAGACAGAGCAAGGCATGCCATATTTGAATGAACATCCAGCTATACCATGCTATACCAGCCAATTGTTAGATTTTTCACCAGGCAATTCCAAGGGTCTTGACATGTTTTGACCCAGAGTCATTTGGTGCTTCACACTTGGCTCAGACAAAGGCACAACTTGGATGGTGAATACAAAGAATTGTATGTTTTGTTGTTTACAATGTGAATGTGTATGGCCTAGCAACATCTCACTTCATGTTGAGTCTTGAGTAGTGAAGGGGGGCCCGCCAAACAAATGCTAGGGGATGAAGAGGCACCTTTCCTGGAACCTCTCATGAATCAAAGCAAGTAATTATTTAAAATGCCTTTGCATCTATACACTGTATTTATATGTTATTTAAAAAAAAAACGCCTGAGGGTATAGGATATTAAATATTGATTAATTTGAATCTACATTCAACTTATGTTCCCTTTAACAAGGCAAAATCCAGAATCTAAGAAATGGTTCGAAATCATATGAATTCATATAAATCGTTTTCCCCATAACTTTCCGACACATTCAACTAGTTGGGGAACTAACCAACAAAAAAATATCAAAACAAAACAGAATGACACTACAAAACTTACAAGGATTTTTCCCACTATCCATTTTGTTGATGTAACTAGTTGCTTGGTTATAGTAATTGTTCAAGTATAACAAACCTATAACCCACGTTATACACCAATGTCACAAGCATATCACAGCCGACAGCCGACAGCCCGCAGGTTCACAAGCACCACATCGAGATGATGATCCACTCACGATGGCGCCTGGAATCGGAGGGCTATGAAGTGCTCGCCGGTTACTTGGTGCGGATGCCCGGTTTGATGTTCGTGCGGAGGAAGCTGGAGATGAGGGGTTGAAGCAACGATTTCCATATCATGAGGATGATTACTAGCAGGGATGATTATTAACAGGGATGATTATTCATATCAATGGGATAATCTGAGTTCATTGACGCTTTCGAGAACGCGATCGAACTTGTAGATAAACTATTTTTGTCAAACCAAAGCTACAGTTTCGTGGTGATGATGTCCAAACTCTTCAAGATTTGATCTACAGCAAAAGTAACTGCAGGGACCGCATATGTTTATATAATTTTATATACATATATACATAATCTCTGGTTGTTGGTGACTGGAACATGATTCTTATGACTTATTCCATTCAGTTGGGAATTTCATCATCCCAACTGACGAACTCCATAATTTTTCAGAGGGGTAGGGCTCAACCACCAACCAGAATATATCCATTATGGATCCAGTAGGAATATCAATATAGCTCGTCAGTTGGGATGATGAAATTTCCAACTGAATGGAAAGTCATAAAAATCCATGGTTCCAGTCACCGCCAACCAGTAAAATGGTGTTATTCCAGTTATTAACCATAGATTAACCATAGATTAACCATAGATTAACCATAGATATTCCCAGTCATGGCTGTTGTTTATGGCATATATGTATATATGACATCTGCACAGGTGATGTCCAGTAAAATCCCCGTTTCCGTTTCATGCCAGGCCATCACCAACGTGGACTATGTGAAGAGGAAGAAAGAATCAGTGCCTTGGTCCAGAGATTCACTGATTCTACCCTCCAGTAAACCAACAGTTCGATGTGGAAAATCCATGGAAAATCCACATAGTTGATACCCTCTGGTAAACTGTCCCATAGCTGTTGAAAATGGCCATAGAAATAGTGAATTGTCCCATTAAACATGGTGGATCTTTCCATAGTTACGTTAGTTTACCAGAGGGTATGAGCCATGAAAAATAGGCCTGAAAAATAGGCTAGGTACCTCCAATTTAGGTTCCTGAAATGTTCCACTGATTTACTACCCTCCGGTAATTTCACGGTTTGCTATTGAAAATTGCCATAGAAATAGTTGATTTACCCATTAAACATGGTGATTTTCCATGATTTTCCATAGTTATGTTAGTTTACCAGAGGGTAAAATTCCCTGGTTGATTGGTTGAAGAAGATTGGTTGATTGGCTACTTTGTTGGGACTTGGTTATTGGTTGATGATTTAAAATACCCCTGGTTGGTTGGTTTACCAACTGTAGGGACTTGTACTACCTAATTTACTGTGGACTACGATAAGCCATAGGATTGGGAAACCGATTTCAAGCAACTAATAGTTCATGAGATGGGACAGTGGTACGTTTAATGGCTCATAGTGTTTTTAATGAAATTCAGAACTCTGGGTACATCATGCCACGACCTCACTGCGACCTCAGATAAATGGCTATTGGTAAACCGGTATACAGTTCTTTTTTTTTAAATGTATGTTCATCAATGATTACTTAATATAGAATTGCCGTATGCAGAGAATAATATATATATACGGTAACGACATTTAAATATGTGGAGGGTTGGCCAGACGGCAAGGCCCCGGAGGTAGTATGAAATACCAGTTCGTATATTTAAGTGTAGTTGCAGTATGTTTAAATTAATTGGATCCCGTATGTTTAAATGGCTGGGCGGGCCAAGGAAAACCTTCCCGGAGGTACTTAGTCTAAATACCTATTTGTATATTTAAAAATCCGTATATTTAAATGTAGTTACCGTATATATATATATATTGCTATATTGATAAAATCATGTATACACACATAGAGGTAGATATACATATATATATATAGTTATATATATATAGTTATATATATATAGTTATATATATATAGTTATATATATATATAGTTATATATATATAGTTATATATATATGTAGACATTATATATATATATATATATATATTTGTATACATATTACATATATATATATATGTATACATAATATATATATACATATTATATATATACATAATATATATATATGTACATATTATGTATATATATATATATATCAACGTCTATATACTATAAGATTTAGAGATGGATACTATGTATGCCTCTGAATGTCTGGCTCTATGGGTGACTTGCTTGGAACAACCTGCTGGCTGGTCAACCTCTTGAATCTCATGAAGAACCCAAGAATTTGCAATTGCCACAGTTACCCTCTGGTAAACTGTCCCATATCACTGTGGAAAATCACCATTTTTAATGGGTAAATCAACTATTTCTATGGCCATGTTCAATAGCAAACTGTTAAATTACCATCGTATAGTTATGAATAAAATTTCTCATTTGTAGTGGATTTACCCTTTAAACATGGTCATTTTCCATAGCCAACTGTTAAATTAGCAAAGGGTCGGTATCTCATGGGTTTTGCCAACCTGTTTCCACCATGTCGACTGTCCAACACCAACTGACTCTGGCGAAAAACATTGTCGAGGTCGAAACATGAACATTTGTTTACCCTCTGGTAAACTAACGTAGCTATTGAAAATCACCATTATTAATGGGTAAATCCACTATAAATGGTCATTTTCAATAGCTACGTTAAATTACCAGAGGGTAATTTGTTTGTTTGTTGTGTGACTTTGTGTGCATGTGTGGGTGTGTGGTCTATTGGTACAACTATTGAGTGATACTTTTGAAACGCAGTTCCACTTAATGCATGATTATATGGCCATACTTAGAGGAATTATATCCCAGCTTGCGGGGGTACTATGGTTGAGCCCATTCAAAACAACTAAATCGCACCCCGAGTATCATATGGTGAGCTTTATATCATATTATATGTTGTATATATATATATGTATACTATGTGTATATCCCCGTATATCCTATGATACCAATTATACTCCAGGGTATCCCATTATATCCCGCTATATCATATCATATATCACATGGTATCTCCATATCATCAGTAGAAATTTCAGGCCCGTTAAATGGAGGTACTTTACCAGACAAGGCCAGGATATTCACTGAAAATTGGCCCTAAAAACATAGGCCGTTTAAAGGCTAGGAACCTCCAATTTAGGTTTCTTAAATGGCCATTGATATTGTTCACTGTAAACCCCCGAAGTTTGTTGGTGAAAGTCGGTTAAGGATATCCCGTATTATATCCCTTTATATCATATCATATTATATGTCCATCTTATTCATGCCTGTCTTATGATTGTTCTATATGATATGATCTATGACATTACATCCCCATATATATATATATATACATATCCTCTCTCTATATATATATATATATCCTTTATATATATATATATCCTATATATATATACCATATATGTACTTTTTATATCATATGACATCCCCACCTCCCTTTTCTCGGCCAGGATCCCATGTCGGATGACGATCGGGTCGCTGCCATCCAAATGGCCTGCGATGACATGCAGACAGGCGCCGAAAGCATGGCCGGCGATGCGGCGCTGCCGCAGGGCACAGGGGAATTCACGTGGTTGAAGCGTATTGAATGATTGGATTGGTTTATATAAGGGATTTTTTTTCAGGAAACCATAGATTTTCCCATCAAGAATTGGTAGTTCACCATGAAAAATGTGGACAAAAACATCCAAAACAGGGATAGAAAAGCCTAAAAAGCTAGGGATTCTTGCATGAAAGATAGGGATTTAAAGCATCAAACATATGGATTTCAGCATCAAAAAAAAGGTGATTTAACCATCAAAACAGTGAGTTAACCATGAACAATATGGATATTAATGGGATTTTAATGTTAATGGGAATAGAATGTGAATTTACTGTATCCATCAGATGTGGTATTCGGAATGGTCAATCCGGATTTGTTTGTGATGTAGCCATCACAAATAGTGAAGCATCCATCAAAAGTAATGATTGAACCAATGAAAGCAGCGAAAATTTTGGTGGATCTAATGGGCAACATGGATATGGAAGCCCAACAAGACGGATTATTTGGATTATCCACATGGATATGTAATACTATATGGAAATGAATATGTAGTATCCACATCTATAATGGATATGTAATATTATATGGATTATTTAGGTAAGTTTGAACAACAAGGAAGTTACCTCCACTAAGCAGTGGAATGCGGTTCCTAATTTCTAGACAAACCCATGTTTTGATCAACATATTCATTCCAAAACTCACGGGAAGAGGCCCCCCAAACAATGCGCTCAAGTTGGCAAACATAAGTAGGCTAAGTAGGGTTGAAAAGGTGGATGTACATCATCCTGTAACAACTGGAATACTTGAAAACCACGGAACAGATTCTTGCATAAATCATGTAGTTAATGTCATAAACGCAATAATGAGCCGTCCTCAATATTACCAGAAATGGGTAGTAAACATCATCCCCAAATGATAGGTTTAATCTTGGGTTTGCCACATTACCACCTCATGGTCGGATCTGCAAAATGGTCGGATTTGACTTTTGATTACTTTTTTGGGGATTGCTATTGTACAGTATGGGTTGCTGTGGTATTTTCAGGTTATTCGGTTGGTGAAGCATGATGAAATGTGTCCAGAACAGTAGGTTCTTTTCAGTGTAGGAAACATAACTTTCATAGAACTGGATGATGGGAAAATTGAAACCGGAAACCCCTATACTTGATGGTAAAAACCCATGGGTTTCCGGTAAAGATTTTCCCTTGAGCCAATCCGTAGGGTAACTTGAGAAAGATGGACCAGGCATGAGATGAAACCAATGCGATTTCCCATAAAACCAGGCCATAAAACCTGGTGGATGAACACAATTATTGAGACTCATCCCAACATCATCGACTTTTTCACCTTTGCTACAACGAACACACCCATTTTTGAAAGGTGAAATCCATCGAACTCCATATGATTATTTATTTTGCAGGTTATGGTGATGTTTGAATATGTTTGATGTTTAGATGCTCGTTTTAGACCACCCACATACTCACTAATAGGTAGTTTTTTCCAGAGTTTGCTATTTGTTCTTTGTTCAATCGCAATGTCTATTGGCTAAACCATCTATAAATGAGCTATTTTCTTCATAACTATGTTTCAATGGATTGGTTTAAGGGAAAATTTACAGGAAAGCCCCATATTTAATGGGAAATTCTATGGTTTCCTGTAAAATTTCCCTTAAACCAATCCAATCAATGTTCAATTACCAGAGGCGATTTTCCCATGTTTTACCCATAAAATCACCCTATTTCTTGACGGTTTAATCGTCATGGGGATCCATCTTCGGAGGGAATGGTTAGAATCCCATCATATTGGTGGTATGATTGGTGGTACCTATATCCAGTCTCATATATATATATATATACATGTATATATATATATATAGGCCATATAATACCACCAATAATCCAGATTATATATATATACATAGGCCATGATAATAATCCAGATTGGATTTTACGCCACTTAAGTTTGTATTTATTACTATTAAACCGATCATATCTCATCATAATCCCGTATTTTCATTTGATCAGCCATCCCTACATTTTCAATGGCCATTTCAGGAGCCTAAATTGATGGTATCTACCCTATATAAGGCCTATGTTTCAGGGCTAAATTCTAGGGAATATCCCCACAAAATATGGCCAAACATATGGCACGGTACCTCCATTTTAGGATCCTGAATAGTCCCATGTTTCCCATATACTATAATACATTTGTAATACATCTCTAATCCATAAACTGCAAGGATACATCAATATCATCATTGATGTGTCTGTGTATATATATATATATACTATAATCATATATTATAGATGATCATAAAGTGCAGGGATCCATCAATAATTATAATATCTTCATACATTAGACATGGATAGATAGCCACGAAACAAATGGATGATCCATCGCCTCATTTGAGTTGCTGAGAAGACAGCAGCCTACCCCTGTTGGTAAGTTTGCACGTGACATAATGCCTCATATTGTCCAACGATGTCCGACGTCAGATTAAACATTTGGGGATTTCCTAAGTCACAGGACAACCCCCAAAAAAAATCCAGTTGTCATGGATTAGACCATGACTTATAGGTTAACATAGGTTAACCCATGGCGACTGAAGGATCCCCGAGCCATTAAGACAGCAAAAAACAGTTCAACATTGATCTTTGGCCAGGCTGGTTACGCCCCGACATTCGCGGTGTGAATGCTCCAAGCCCCGGACGGATGACGCAGCTGTATCAACAGGAGATTTTTGGTCGCAAACGTGGATTCCTTGGTGCTTGATGTATACAATGGTTATTTGGGGGTATATAATGAATTTATAATGGTTTATAATATGTTGTAATGGTATTGTAATGGTTATAATCCTCCTTACTCATGATTATATGCGAATATATGGATTTTAGTACTAAAAATGTGGGCTCTAATGGGGTTTAACTAGCCAACAACATGGTTTGTTTGATGGGATTTAGCCAACAAAAATCCGGGTTGCCCCAATACCACGAGATGGGAAATTGGTGAATTTCACCTTGTAAAAATGTCGTGTTGGGCTCAACCTGGATGAACACATCCATGAACCATCGAGAAAGATGACAGAGTGTAAACCATCCAAAGTGGCAACAACATACACACACACACTATATATATATATGTATCACAGTGTGTAACATAATGTATATAGTGTATACAGGATATAAAATGTATATGATGTAATTTATACAATATATATATATAGCATGTATATGATACAATATGTTTTAATGTATACGATAAATATAATTAAACAAAATAAAATAGGATATAATACAATATAATATAACATAATGCAACATAATAAAAAAAAACATAATATAACGTAACATGACATAATATGATATAACATAATACACGATATATAATAAAGCATGTGTATATATATATATATATTTGTATACGTATTACATAACACATATATTTATAATATGTAACATATATCTATTGTATATCTAGCATATATATATATATATATCATTTTTTTTTATACACATAATATAACGTGTATATATAATATAATATGTATATATTAGTATATATATATATGCTCACCCACCACTACAGAACCCCCGAATGCCTATTTCACTGGTATTTACAGTACAACATGCCTCAAACTTGTACTTGATTTTAGGTCTTCGGATCTTACCTATCATATATTGTTTTACGGTTGCAGGCTTATGTTCTTCAGACACCTCATATATACATGTTCCATTTGAGTGATTTTTTCGTTGCGATGTCAACCATTTGCCCTTTGCCATTTGCCACCAACCAAAAACAAACGAAAACCCGCAGAAAAACAAAACAAAACAACAAAAAAAAACTTACTGTATACCTTTACACTCCTTGAATATCCCCTGTAAAACTTTAAATACCAGCTAATACACCTTTAATATATATATATATACCTTTAATATAGCATTTCATATATCCCTGGCATACCATTTGATATACCACGAATCTACCTTTGATATACCATCTATCATAATTGACCTTGAACATACCTCGAATATACCCTTAGTATACCTTAGAAATATACCTTGAAGTATATTTTTAATATGCCATTTAATATGCCTTTAGTATACCGGTTCATATAACATGAGTATAATTTGAATATACTATACTGTATACCTTTATTATCCATTTAATATACTTGTATTTTACCATTTAATATACCTTTGATATATCATTCAATCTATTTTTAGCATAGCATTTAATATATATATATAGAGAGAGAGAGAGTGAATATACCTTTGGTTTACCTGCAATATACCTGCAGTATGCCATATGATTGACCATGGAAGTTCTTTAATATACCATCTCATACACCGTTGACATACCATTAGATTTATATGCCTATACTATAGGCCCTATAGTATACCTTTGTACCATTTTGTTCACACTGAACATATCTTTAAATACACCTGTGGGGTACCTCTTACATACCTTGTATTTACCATTTAATTTGCTTTTAATATACCTTTCAAATACCATTTAGTATAATTATATACATGTTTGGTTTACAAATTTATGTACCATTAATATTCTATTTGATGTACCATTAATATCTTATTGATTGTACCCATTGATTTGCATTTATGGTTATTTAATATACCTTTCATATACCCTTTGATGTACCTTGTAAATATCTAATACACCTTTAAATATAGCATTGAATATACCTTTGGTTTACCTTGAAATGCATTTGATTGACCGTGAAATTATCTTCAATATACCTTTAGTATGAATTTTAACTACCTTTACTACACCTTGAATATACCTTAAAAACAAAGAAGGGTGGATGAGCAGGGCTTTCATTTTTTCCTTGGTATATATTCTAGTAATTATAGGTGTATTTACAATCTAGACCATCTAATTGCCTTTAACATACCTTTACTATACCATTTCTTTTTCCAGAGGTCTTGGGGTTCAGAGGGGTCCAGCCAAGGGGAGGGCACCATGGACAAAACAAGAAAACAAACAAAACATTGGAAAAAAACAAAGCAAAACAAAATCCAGAGGTTTTACGGGTTGAGAGGGGCCCAGCCAAGAGTCTCAGAACGTTGTTGTTCAACGATTGTTACTGACCCAATGGACGGATAAAGTAGACGATGTGGTGAAGCAGAAGATGCGGTGCAGACCATCCCATCTCAAGATGTTGACAGGTGGAGGTATTTCAATGCATTCGGGGGGTTCTGGGTGTGTGTTTGGCCACATTTATGTATATATATATATATACATATACATATACATACATGTCACACATTTATATAATTATATATAAATGTATATATGTATATATCACATTCATACATCCATACATTCATACATTCATACATCGTATTTAACAATACAAAATCATATTTTAGCATGTGTATAATATCTAATATTTAATATATGCAACACATTAATATAAATATATATATATATATATACATTAAATTTTATGTATATACACCACACACACACATCTATATAAAACCTGCGTGACACATGCATCACATGTACGTATATATGTATTTGAACATATACGTGCATATATACATACATACATATATACATATTTACGTATGCATATAGACATATATATACATATATATATATATACATACTTATTTACATATATTTTACATATATGCATAAATACACATATACATAATATACAAATACAAATACATACATATATACATACTTACATTTATACATATATACATTTATATATATTCATTTGTACATTCATACATGTATCCATTTTTACATGTATACATATATACATATATAATACATATATTATATATTCATATATTCATATATTCATATATACATGTATACATATATACATATATACATATTTTCATATATACATATATACATATATACATATTTTCATTTGTATATTTTTACATATTTACAAGTATACAAACATACATACAATTCATATATATATATATATTTGTACATCTTCGCATTTATGTATATAAATTCATTTTTTGAGTGTATATGATTTTAATAAATATTATAACATCATTTGTTTAAACATAGAACATTACTCAACTATTATAGTATATATTTATTTATACTGGCCGAACATTAGGTAGTAAATATGATTTTGTTTGACAAATGACGGTGCCTTAAAACAATGTGTTGGTTCATCATTGTCCCTATCTCTTCCTAGCTGGGTGGATGTTGGGCCTGTTGGGGGTTTCTCCCATGCTGATCTCCAACGGACCTGGTGACCTGCCGAGGCATCCAGGGGCTGTGATCTTCAGTGTGTGTGGCTCAGACACTGTGGTGAAGTTATGCAAGCACCTTGGCGCCGTCGAGGACGTGACCTAAGGACGTTCCGCGCTTTATGTTGAAATGGGACGTTCTACGGATGGTGTTTAGCGCATGGTTGAAACAGGTGGGTAGTAAAGAATAGTTTGCCACCCGTCATGATAAATTGTGCAAAGGGATTATGACATCAACAATAGGGATTATGACATCAACAATTGTTGAAGAATGGCTGAATAATACATGAAACAGAAACACCTACCCAAATCTCTGGGAGTTCTGTGGAAAGAACAACCAAAAAGGGTTTGTTTTAAAATTTGGAACCCTCTTCATATCATGAACTGTTCAAACACATTCTAAAGCATCGTAGCTTGTGCTGGTCAATGATTACGATTCAGTTTGACTTGATGACACCTAAATGATGATCACACCTCCACGATTTCTTTTTTTTTTAGATAGAAGTCCCGCATCCGAAAAAAAACCCGTTGCTATTTTCCTGTCAGCTTTGCCCTCCAGTCTTTTATCGGAGTTGTGTCCAATCATCGGGGATTTTTTTGCCGGGATGGGTACCCTCTGGTTATGTCAAAATAGCTATTGAAAATGGCCATTTATAGTGAGTTTTCCCATAAAAAAGGGTGATTTTCCATAGTTATGTTAGTTTACCAGAGGGTAAAGATAGTTTCTATGGCTGATATTTTTTGTTGCTTTTTTTTGTCATCCATTGTCAATTATCTCTCATCTGCAAACCTGCCTATGCCATGTGCAAACTCCACATTTTATGCCAGACCAGAAGTGGCCGTCCACCCTTCAAGTGTACCGAAATGTAACAATGTAGGTCCTGTATGTATCACCACAGTTCAAACTAGATGAGTATGAGTTCTCAAATAATTGCATGTTTGTTACGCTGCAGAAAAATGAATTTCCAGACGTTACCCTCCAGTAATTTGTTACGTGCGATGGACATGGCCCATGATAGAAAATTATCCACCCATTAAAAATGGTGGCATTTCATGCCTCTGTAACGAACTACAAGAGTTTATCACTAGTTCGGTAGGATTTTATTACTGAAATCATAAACCGGTAAAATAGAATGAATTGGGTGATGAAAATCGATGTGTTCCCATGTTTTACCCCAAACACACATATATATATATATATGTTCATCTATTTTCCACGGCAAAGTGCTGGGTTTTCCAGATGTTGCCAAGAAAGTTTCTTAGATCACCAACTATAGTTCCATATTTTCCATTAAAATGTGTCGTTATTTTCGTTGCGTGGCATTTTTCATGGCGCCGTTCCAAGGAACGGGTCGCGATTCAATCAGCCTTTGGTGGTGGTTGGCCGCCCAGGCATCAACAATGCACTGGTGAAGGACACAGTTCGGTGAATCAATGGGTAGCCTTTGGTAAAGTACCCTCTGGTAATTTAACATAGCTATTGAAAATGGCCATTTACAGTGGATTTTCCCATCAAAAATGGTGATGTTCCATAGTTATGTTAGTTTACCAGAGGGTAACAGAGCTAGCGAAGGCCATTTTCCAGTTCGCTATGGCTATGTTAGGTTTACTGAAGAGTAAATAGTGGGAAAACAAGCAACAATTATGGATGAATCATGGATAATGGCGTTGAATCACCTCTGGTGATTTGATATGGTTTGCGAAGTGGATAAATCACCATGTTTAAGAACGGTAATTCGTCATTTTGATCATCAAACTAAATGGCACATGGTTTCCATAGCTACTCGTATGTTAAATAACCAGAGGGTAAAGTTGCACCCGGAAAATACGGCATTTTTAGTGAACCGTAATCTTCCAACCCCTATTTGATGGCAGGGTCGATTTGTTAATTTGGGAGAGGGTAGATGGAATGAACATACACTAACTTTTGAATGATAACACTTGATGCATTGCAATGTTACTATAGATTATTGCAAGACTATGTTTCATTTCACTATTCGATGATAACATATTTTACATTTTCACGATACTTATATAGACCCTCCCCAAGAAAACTGATCAAAGTCCAAAAAGGTACATTATCCCATTTCTCTAGGCACTTAGAGGTCCCAGGTAAATCTACGAATTGGTTTTAAGGAATTGATAGATTACATAAGATTCTATTCAACCACCGGTGATGTTAATAAACAAAAAACGGCCAAACTATTGTCCCCATGTTCCTCACGATATTTTAATTTTCCCATGCTGGAATCGTCATTTTTTTCTGGTAAACTCAACATTTTCCTACAAAAATATGGACAATCAGCATTTTCATGCATTTCCCTAGCAATGTAAAATTGTATTTTTCCTATTAACGTCCCCATGATCCCTCAACGATCGTATCAACCATATTTTTTAAGGCTAAGTTTCAGGGGATATACCCCCCATTTGCTATTGCTTTGTATGGTACTAACATACCTCCATTTTAAGATGTATTAAACCCCCATTTGAGCTATTAAAAATACAGAAGGGAGGATGAGGGGCTACATGACCATCTCATAACCACACCAACTCATGCATAATGATGCAAAACCTTGTAAAATCAGACCTTTCACAACTCCACCCCCCATGGTAAGCCGCTCTCTAAAAATACTCCTATCCCATCTCATAAAATACTAGTTGGTTGAACACGGTTTCCCAATCGTAGAAGGGCCCAATAAATTAGCTCGTCTAAGTCGCAACAGAGTAACCAATCAACCAGGGTATGTTCAATCATCAACCTTTAACCAATCAAGTCCCAACAAAGTAACCAATCAACCAATCATCTTCAAAAAATCGAGCAGGGTATTTTTCATAGGTTGGTTAATAAGGATGCCCCTATTAGATGAGTAAAATCCCCAATACATTGGGTAGTAATATCATCAATCATTCCATCATTTACCAGTTCTATCCACTTCTATTCCCATATTGTTGATGGTTAAAACCGTATAAATATTGATTAATCCCCCAACCAATACTGGCCCATATGATTGATTATTATTCAATATGATAAAAAGTCAACTCATCTCTAAAGTGATATCTAGCTATAATCACCAAAGAATCATCTTTAAAAATCAACCAAGAGTATCTTTAATCTGCTTGGTGGTTTCAAACAATGTTTATTTTCCATGATATATGGAATGTTATCCTTCCCATTGACTTTCACATTTTTCAAGATGGTTAAGACCAGCAACCAGGTGACATGGTGCGAGACGGTGGTGAACCCAGAGGAAGTATATAAATATATGATATAATTCTTCACATCCCACTAATTATTGTTCTTCAATCACCAGAGTATCTTTATATGAACTGGAAAATCACCATTGTTCATGGCTAAATCAACTATAAATGATTATACATGACCATTTTCAATAGCTATGTGAGGAGACTTTACCCTCTGGTAAATTAACATAGACCCTGGCAGATAGGGGTTGGAAGACTAGTTTCCATTAAAGATTGGTGATTTTCAGGGTCTATGTTAATTTACCAGAGGGTAACCATTATAACCATTAAAAAATGAATATCCATAATATCCATCTAACAACATTAACTATTATGGACCATTAACCATTAATTTACCAGGGGGTAATAGTTAAATTATGACTAACATAGCCATGGAAAATCCCCAAAATAAATGGAGGTGTTAATGGGAAAATCATCTATAAATGGGAAAATCATCTATCAATGGAATATCCATCTAACAACATTAACCATTATGGACCATTAACCATTGGACATGATGGATATTATAACCATTACCATTGGAAATAGTTCATATCTTGCTGCGTCACTGTGAGGACACCGTGGCACGCTCCGAAGTCGCCACGGGCGCAGCCTTCTGGGTGAACGACCTGCCGGGCGGGCCCATTTCGTCGGCGCGGGTGCGACATACCTTGATCACGGAGGATATGAAGCGCCTTGGAATTTTCGAAAGGCCATGGGATGCCATGGCGGATATCGAAAAACCTGGGGAAAAATATGGAAAAATATGGGAAAATCGATGGAAACAACTTGAAAACTCAGAGAGATTTAGAGATTTGACCATGATTCGGCCATGAACAAAAATGATCGGAAAATCAAAGGAATCGGCCTTGAATCCTACAGATTTGACCTTCATTAGGGGAATGTTACCATCAAAGGCAATCTAATTGGATAAAATACTATATAATTGTGGTTATATTTAATTATCCAATTTAATAGTGTAATTGTTACTAATGGGTTATAATTGAGACTATGTTTTTTTGTTTTTAACCATCAAACATTGAGATTTAAGAATCAAACTCGTTTAACGATGATCTGTCCATTAAACATTTTGGATATGGAATTGACCTTGAAACCTACAGGATTTAAACTATTTAACTATCAAAATTGGTGACTGGTGATTGTAATGATGATATCATTGGGATGTGAACAACAATAATTAGTGGGGATTGAACGAATAAATCATGAACATATCGGAATAACTGGGAATATATATATATATATATATATTTAAGGGCTGCCGCCCCTGCCGCCGACCCCGGAAACAGGACAGTTGCCTGCGTTGAATTGCCCAAGTGGTTTGAATCTCCAAATCAGCAGTATACTGTAGGATTCTGTCTGACTTGCCTGATTAATTTTCTTCGAGTGGAACATGGAAGATCATTGCAATGTGAGAGTGAGAACTGCAGAACGCAATTCAGTGAAGATTGGGAAGACAAGCTTCAAGCATTCCATCCAAATTTTATTCGTTCTCCAAGTGTTAATGAGCCCTTTCCAGCCGTTGCTCGGCCAACTTTACCTTTCGCATCACCACGGTGGGAGGTACCGGGGATGGACTTTGGGATTTCGGAGGAAAATGTGGATGTAGCCAACAAGAATTTGGAATTCGAATAGTGTAAATTATTGGACAGAGTTTTGCTATATGTGACGCTTGATTATATATCCAATCAAATCTAGTAGCTGTATATGATCCGGCTTGATGTTTCCTTTCCCCGCTAGTTTCTGGTTTCTCCGTGTCTTTTGAGCACCTGGCAGGTGCTATGCAGTCTTTGGTGATCAATACGCCTGGTGCCCATGACATGTGCGAATGGGGAGTTCAAAGAAATTAAACCATTGGACAAGAAACATGGGTCAAAAACATTGGGATAAAACATTGGAACAATATTTTTTCGAATAATTGGCTAGTTTAATAATGGCAATGAAGCTTCGATGCCTTCACAATGGACAAGTACAGGTCCTTTGAGAGGTGAAGGAGTTGCATGATGATAATGTGCCGCAGTGGGGTGGAAATGCTAGAGTAGCAATTCTCACAGTACACTGATAGTCTTCACCAGTGAAGATGTGAAGATGGCAACTTGCTTGAGTTGAATTGTCGAAGTTGTTTGATTCTTTAGATCAGCAGCATCTACTGTAGGATTCTGCCTGACCTGCCTAACTAAGTTTCTTCGAGTGGAACATGGAAGATCGTTGCAATGTTCTCATCTTTTAACTTCAATAGCGCGCTTAAGGTCGAAATATGCACGTTTCTGTTGCTCTTTTGAGTTGGCAACTTTGAGACTGATGTGGAAGGGTTTAAATCTAGATACCTCACAAAATGATGGGTATAGGCAATTCCGTTTTAATCTTCCCCTTGCACACATTGCTAGCCAGGTAGTCAACGGTGCCTCGCATGGCCATGCTAGCTTGCGCTGCGCTGACCCGGAGGACAGCATGGTACTCAACTTTGGATGTGAAGTTGAAAAAGAACCCAAGAATTCACTGTACTGGAAATGCACAGCATCATTATCATCATCATCAGCATCATCAGCAGCATCATCATAATTTGTTGAGTATGCAAGCTCAAACAAGCGACATTTCTTGGGTTAGTTCGTAGAGCAACAATCACGATGACCAGTGGCATCACAGGTATGGGGAAGCTGCCATGAGGGCGGTTGTGAAGCATGCAGACAGTTGGAGGTGCGCAAGATTCAATGGGAAACTTGTGATTGATACAGAGGAGTTTATGGTGGAAAATCTGGTTCACATGGATGGTGTCAGAAGGGATGGGCATTCTGTAGTGTTCTCTGGTCGAAAGAGCAAGAGCATGCGCCATCACATCATTTCTTGGCATTTGCAGCTGAAATGTAGTTAAACATGGTCGATGGGCTGTGTATCTGGGAACTGCTACATTATAGGCTCAAGGCCAATCGTCATGGCATCGCCGCAGAAGAAACAACGCGTCGCTGCTCCTGCGCGCGTGGAGCGATCGGCAACAACGGTTCCATCATTGTCCTCTTTGAGCTCTGTTTCGGATCGTGGCCTGGCGAACTTTGAGTGCTACCTGGTTGATTTGAGCGATGTGAGGACTGTCCAGGAGAAGAAGGTGTGCGATGTGCTTTGGCTAGTGGGCATGGTTCAAACTGGGTGCCACTTAAGTAAAAGCTCAGTTGCGGAATGTTTGGTGTCGGCAGGTTGGCCCCAAATTTTTTGGATGAATCTATCTGGGATTGCTGGGTATGGTGTGTGGAGATCGGTTGGAGGTGGGGAAAGTTGTTAAAATAGCTGCAGCACGTGAGCCTCTGTGTAAAGTTGCATCGGTCTATGTTGTGTGAGGTGGTCTTTGGCGACGAAGGGACGGTGGTGCTTGGGACACTGTGGGGACCGCCTTGTCGTTTCCACAGCGTGCTTCAGGGCGGGCTTCGGCAGGCAAGCGCAGGTTGCTTCCCGCGCATCAGTGTCAAGGCCGCGGAGATTCGCCTGACCGGGCAGGGCGGCGGCTGCGACGTGATGAGAGCTGATGGATGCGATGAGAGCACCTTCGAGCTGAGGGGTGAGGGGCAGTTCAGTATCACCCCGTCGCCTGGGTCAACCATGGAGGAGTTTCTGTACTTCGGTCAGTGGAAGGCCCGGAAGGAATAAGGAGGGATTGTCTCCTTTAGTCGCTGTTGTGGGTTGGATGACGCAGTGGGAATCTCAGTTAGGGTAAATGTATGTCAATGTTGGGACTGGATGTTTTACGTCATGCATTTGCGTTGGGCCCGCTGGTGCTCGGCCTCAGGGCGACAGCTTCAACTTGCAGGGGATCATCGTCAAGGTTGGTGAGGTGCAGCACAGCCGAAGTAAGAATGTGCCATTCAAGGACCTTGGGGGAAGGCGCAGTAGAGTTGTAGACGCATCCATCACCGATATAGATTTTGTGAAAGCAAGTCGGTGTCATAATGTGACAATTGTGTTGTGTTGTGTGTAGAAGTCAACAAAGGAAGAGGGCGGGGTATGATCTCGTTCGCACGACAGGAAGTTGCAATCGTTGACAAGGTTGGTCGAGAGGTATCCATATTGTGCCACGACGAGATGTCGGCTGATCCAAACATCGAGGCAGGGTCAACCATTGTGAGAGTTCGTCGGTTCATTGTTGAGGTGTGGTAAAGAGAGGGTCGGACAGTCGGACATGTTGTTGAACGGTAAAGGGACTGGTCATTTGGGCAGCACGTGTGGTCATTGCAGGTGGGCTTTCGTGTCGCCATGTACGGTTTGCAGCGATTGCGGCAACGTCAAACTGCTTCCGGATCTGGATCTTTCGGACGTTCTGAACCGGAGAAGTTGTGGATGTTCAATGGTGGATTCATTCTGAGGCTGGATCAGGCCATCCATGAGGCCACATCATGCGAGACAATATCAATCCGTGGATGAAAGACTGCGTTTGTTGCACGGGTAAGTGCATGTGCATGTTGGTGAGGCTGCGTAGCTGTGGAGTTTGAAGATGTACAGTTGTTTCAGGTGACATCCCATGTTTGAAATCTTACATGGCCCACATCTAGCTTTCGCATGGCTTCTCTGTGAATATTCAGCCTGGCGATTGACATTTGGCAAAACTCGTAATGTTTGAAGTGCTGTAGCTTGGCACAAGAGTCAGCGATGTACAGTTAGGCTCCGTAGCTTCATGTGCATACGCTTGTAGAGATTTGGTTCTGCGGGATCATTTTGTTTGGATCCGAGGGGATCATTTTGCTTGGATCCGAAAGGTATAGAGTGCCAAGGGAACAGCAGGGACGAACTTCGAACTTGTCGCTCAATGACATTGTACAGAATCAGATTTGAATCACTTGAAAGTGCACGTTTACAATGCATGCTACAGAGTAGCTTATAGTTTGAAGCTGGCTTGCAGGAACTGCGTGGAACACATACATTGGTGTCCACTAGCTTGGCGAGCCTGGTGATATATCGTGGTTCGAGCTGGCTTGCCCAAAGCTTGCTTGGATGTTTTGGTAATCTTTGTACAGAGCTCTGCTTGTTCTGTGCGGCTGGGATGACTTTTGAAGATGGGAACGTTAAGACTGTGAATTATTGCTTTGAAACTGCAGAAACCATTCTGTTGAGAGATATTGTGATTTGAAGCTTGCTTTTTTTGGGGGGGCCTGGTCGTGGATTGGATGTTGATCGCGTTGCCTTTCTTTGTTTGTTTCTATTTTCGTAGATGCACGGCTGTACTTGTACCAGGTTGACCTGAAAGTGTTGGAACGGTACCTTTGGATTTGGTTTTGGAGGCGGCTGGTTGGTAAGTTTGGGGGGCGCGCGCGCGGACCCGCAAAGTGTCTGGGAGGTATCCGCATACCCATATTGTTGCTGGTTGAAATTCTTTTTATGGGCCCAAACTGCGATTTGTGCTGGTTGCATCAGGTTCTTCGGTGATATCCCTGCTAACTTTGGACGTCTGAATCTGTGCTTTGACGGGTGAAATCATAAAGAACATCTGGTTAAATCATGTTAAACCATGTTGAATCCACATTCTTGGTGGTGACATCACCATATTTTTATATATTGTTGATGGTTACTTGGGATTTTGCCAATAGTATGGAACACTGATGTGGGATTTTGCCAATATTATGTGTATTTATATAGAGACAGATTCGATGTCAATGTTGACATATATATATATACACACGTACAGAGACAGCTGAGATACCGGCCGCTCCCTCGGAGCAAACACCGGGGGCACGGCACGCGATCCAGGCAGTTCGTTAGGTCGCCGAAGTGACTGCGGATCAATCGAGGAGAAGCCAACAGGTCGAGTCCTGAATCCCAACAGGAAGTCTGGATACATTCCGGTAAACAAACATGGCAATGGAAGATTCCTTAGCAATGGAGGTTTGATTAGGAAAATCACTGATAAATGGTCCATTTTCCCTTGCCATGTTTGATTGCCGGAGGGTAGACAGAATGGAAAGGCCGGTGAGCATTGCTGATTGTCATGACTCATGTTGTTATCATCACAAGGATTATGATGAATGATGATTATTGATTGTATTGATTTTGAAGATAAGATATCATCATTATGATAGAGAAAGAGAGCATTAACGATCATGATGATTCACATTGATGAAGAATCACCAGCAACAATCATCCCAATACTTTCAACTATGTACACACACATATATATGTATAAATATATATATATATATGTATAAATATATATATATGTATAAATATATATATATGTAGATATATATATATATACATACATACATATCATATTTTGATCAAGAGAAATGAGAATCATCCCATCTCCTCAGCGCCTAGGCACAGCTTTCTTCTGGTGCCTTAGCCAAGTCGCAAGTGAAGGCCTGCCTCCGTCACTGCAGGCAGGGCCCTGCAGGGCCAAAGTTAGTGGGGGATTCACCACACGAAAACCATGGGATGCCATGTTTCACATTATAATGTATATATATATATATATACAGATATACATATACAGTATTTATAACTAAAATAGACATGGGGATGTTCATATGAAAACGTCGGGATAGTATGTGACTGATTATGAAAACCCGTATTGACTATGAAGAAATCTATGACAAAAGTGGGGGTTGGGTGTGATTGGGTATGCCCTTGACATGCAAAATCTTGCAAAATGGTTGACTCTCCAAATTGGATGCTTCAATACAGTCGACCAATTTTTGGATCAGATTTTGGGTACTTTTTGAAGATGTTTGACCGTGGCACCTGTCAGGGAGTGAAGGGTGGGCTCTGTTGCTCTTTGGCCCCAGGCCGGAAGGACCAGTGATTCAACTGTCAAAAGATGTGGGAAACAACCAGAGATGTAGCGATGCTGAAATGGTGACATGATTTGCAGAAGCGACTAGTAACTGGGAGATGGTATAACATGGTACCACAACCATCTATCTATTCACCAGAGAATATTTTTTTTTTGAGTTTGGAGTTGAGAACATCTACCTATAGAGCAGAAAAATCAGGTGCTTGCCAAAAGCACGATGTGGATGTTGGTGACATTACCATATTTTTATATATTGTTGATGGTTAGGCAGAACCAAATTTTTGTCGGTGATCTATGTGTGCGGATCTCCAACAGTCCAGCTTCAGGCGCAAGAAGTACTGGAGGCGCCCATCACTCTGAAAAGCTACTCTGCGACCACAAGGACAGCCATGGATGGTTCTTTGCAGCGGATGGGGGACATGACGCAGAAATTGATCCCAAATGCCAATTGCGAGATCATTGGGATTTTCTTTTTGTGATTTTCTGGTCCAAAAAAAGGAGCGTCCCAGGAAATTTGCACGAGGGTCTTATAAGAGTGTCGCTCTTTCGGCCTTTGAGTTTCTCCTGAGTGTTCAAGCTTCAGGATTTTGGGGGTTCTAGTGCTTACAGCATTGTTGTAAGGCTTAGGTTATGTTTGTCAAGATGCCATGGTGTGAGTCACTGACACTCAATGACACAGCTAGGACCGGCTGGTGGGACCTGCTGTGAATCGGGGTGCCAACATGAAGAAAGGAGTTCCGGTCTCAGAAGATACTCCACAGGTGAATCTCTTTCTGAAAGAATTCAAGACTGACTGAAACCACAACCATTCTGAAACAACATCAAATCGAACGTAATGTGGGTATAATAATCATAATAAATCACCTATTTGAGAATGGTTGAAAAACCACCTATTTATATCTACTTATGGTGATGACTGATTGTTATAGCCAACGTAACAAAAATCGTCGCTGATTTCACCAGTGGCTAGGAGGGAGCTAAGGAGCGTTTGGGGGTACCCATATTCCCAATTCATATATATATATATACATATATGTAGAGAGAGAGATATATATATATATATACATATACATACAGGCTGTGGCTGCGGCTAGTGTATTTTGAATTCCACTGAAATGTGCAGACGTGCAGATAGTCATTTCATGTCTCAATTTGTGGCTGAATCGCTGCGGCTGCACCATTTCGATGTCGTGGCTGGAAATCGACCAGGTGGATCGTCACATTTCCGATGCCATCGTAGTGTCACCTATGCATCCATGTGGGTTTGCTTCAAAGTGGATTCCTCCTACTCCATCCCATTGGTGATCAGAATTTCAGAACAGACGATCTCTTGACTTTGTTGATGTTCAATCAACAAACCACCAGATATCGCCTGAAGCGCTGTGGGAGGTCGGTGCCTGGGGATGTTTCGATGAGTTTAACCGTATCTCCATCGAGGCCGGTTCAGCAAGATGAGGATGAATCTGATTGATGATTTGTCTTTGGATTGATTGACGATTTACATTGATTTACCTAAAGTATGGTCAGTATATGTCAGTATGGTTGATGATGATGATTTATTGGATGATCCAAGAATCCAAGATCTACATTGTGGCTAAGCCATTCTTCACTGTGGCTGCACTTTTTATATATGCACAATAGTTTACACAAGAATACGGTTATATAAATCAGAAGTCCAGGATTTTACAATCCAGGAGTCGCTTCAAATAAATAGTTGTTAGGTGAGTGCTGGACGGCTTTGGAGCCTGCGGTCTCAAGCAACAAATATAAACTCATTCGAAGGGCGCGAAAATGAATGGATTCATTGCCGCAGGGTCAGTCCTCGCAGATGAATTTGAAACTGCCCTTGCTTGAGGCAAAATCGGTGGGCCCTCCAGACGTTGATCTCAGAGTATGTCTGGATCCAAGAACGCTTTCCGGAAAAGGTTTATAAAGCAAGACTGCGAGGTTTCTGAGCACACTATATCCGGAACATTACATCTGAATCCGATGATATTGGCAGATAGCTGCACATGGGCATATCCTACACTTCTGAAGTCTCAACATTGTGAATCCTCATATCCAAACAAACGTTTCAATTTGCAGATTGTAGATGCGAAATCAGGCACGTAGCAGCGTTCTTGGGAAATGATCTAACATAGCCATGGAAAATCAGTATGTTGAATGGGAAAACTCTTTTGCGTCGTAGTCGCAGAGCAACACGATCAAATTTGGTTTCTTGGTTGACTTGTTGCGGGACGATTTCAGGTCACATCACATGGGAAGGGATCAACAATGGGGTATCTTTGGAATTGGACAGTTTGATGTGAAATTCATGTCCCGGCAGTTCTGCATGAATTCAAGCAAGTAGTTGCTGGTATCGTGATGGCGCAGCCGCAATCCGCCCTGATTTGCACGTTGAGTAAGCCAGTGGTGCAGAATCATGATGATGCACGTGCATTGGTCGACGAAGCAATGGAAGGCAAAGAGAATTTGATCTTCAAGGCTGGGGTCGGTTGATGAAGCAATGTGGTTGGGTAGAAAATATGTAGTAACACTTCCAAGCTTCATGTATGGAATGTGTAGGGTTGAGACATCGCACCAAAAGAGTCGGAAAGATGTCAGCCTGGTCACATTATAGTGTCCTCACTGCAATAAAGTGGAATCATGGTTAAGAAATGGGTGCAGCTTTCATGTAGGCAAAAGAGATGACTAGCGATGACATAGGAGGATGTAGTAGTAAATCCTTGGGTTGATGAGGCTCGCCGTGAATCCTGGAAATCCATCTACCTATGCTTGACGGTGCCGACGACTGACAAAGAGTTCAATGCCATCGTCACGAAGTTGAAGGAAGCGTTCACGGCAGTGCATGTCGTTGAAGGTGCCGAGTTTGAAGCGCGGAAGAAAGGGGACCAGGATTTGCGGGCGAAACGGTGCCGACAGATGGAGCACTTGCAGGCTGTTGATTTATCTCTTGTTGATCGGCTCTTGAAGCTTCGAGGGGAGTCTGGATCACAGAAATCTCGTCGAACGGATGCGTGCCTTGGTGGATTACTGCAGGGAGTTGAAGAAGTAGAATGCATCGGATTCCATGTACATTCGGCCAAAGTGATTTTGGATGTTGATGGTGTAGCCGTTGGAACATCAGTCTTTTGGTTGTGGTGGATAAATCGAACCTGCTGAGGTCGAAGATTGCGACCTTGGCATCCCGTTTGAGTGCAGTGCAGTGTGCAGGTTTGCGTGTGAAAGACTTGGAGGTGCAGCCAACTGATAAGGCAGACGGAGAGGTCTGATTTTTTGTAGGATTGTTGTAGAGCTTTTCCTGACGTATCGCATGGCATCTCTGTAAATATTCAGCCTGGCGATTGACATTTGGCAAAACTCTTCATGTTTCAAGTGCTGCTTCAGAGGGTTCACTGTTGGAGCTTGGCACAAGAGTCAGCGATGTACAGTTAGGCTCCGTAGCTTCATGTGCATGCGCTTGTAGAGATTTGGCTCTACGGTAGCATTGTCTTTGGATCCGAGAGTATCATTTTGTTTGGATCCGAGAGGTGCAGAGTGCCAAGGGAACAGCAGGGACGAACTTCGAACTTCTCGCTCAATGACATTGTACAGAATCAGTTTGAATCATTTGAAAGTGCAAGTTTACAATGCATGCTACAGAGTAGTTTATAGCACCGCTGCAACAGTAGGCTTGCCACTGTCACTTCACATGATGGCGGGAAAGAGTGATTGAATTGGTATCATGCGGCTGGGAAGAGAAGGCTTCGCCGTGTTGGCGTTGAACAGCAGAACAGCAGGCATGGATGTATGTTGCAAAACTTCGTTTCATGGTGGGCTGACCCTTCTGGAAGTCGCATCCTCATATGGAAAATTTTGTTATCCGAATTCTTTTTCGTTTTGGTTCCATCTTGGGTACCGGTGACGAAAGCAAAACCCCAGAATCCAAAGATATAGGCAGCAAAACCATTTCATAAGAATCACCATGATATCCTATGAAATTGGGTGAAATTCATGAAAGAAATATGCTTAATTATGGCTTAATTGACTGTGGGTATAACAATCATAAACCATCTCCATGATCACCATTTTTATAGGTGGTATCAACCATGAAAAATGGGTGGTTTATTATTGTTGTACTCACATTATATTCAACCATCATTGATGGCCATTCTGGATGGACTGCTACTCCAAGGTGGAGTCGCGTTGCAGCACCAGAACCAACAGCAACAAGACCAAAATTGGCATCGGGACCCAGCTTTGTAGCAAAACCCGCGCAGCTGTCCACGGGAGATCGACGGACAGGATTGGGGATGGCGGTTCATAGACTAGCATGGATCAGCTACGACATGGGATATATATATATATATTTCATATAGAGTTTATATAGATGATGATACTTTAGGTTGGGGGAGTGATTTATTCTGACACGTCCGAAATTGTCGAGGAGTTGGCCAAATATGGACACAACACGAGTTTGTCTTCAGTAATGGTAAGGTCTAGAAGATGCTAGAAGCAACAGTGGCCTATAGAAGCAACAAACCATAACAAGCCATGCAATCCACATGATTTTTTGATCATCCATGAGTTCCAATGAGTGAGCTACGGAGGCTCCTTCTGTGAACTTCCTTGCTGTGCATTGCTCAGAAACTCTTCTGGTAAACGTTGACAAAATGGTCCATCTATAGATGGCGTACCCATTATTTTGATAGTGATTTTCTCTAGCTATGTTAAATTACCTGAAACGTAGTCAGCTTTAATGTCTAGTGATTCTTACATTCAAGTCCAGATGTTCGTGTCGTTGGTTTCAGAGGTGACGGAAGATTGATCCGAGTTCGACACCGAGAATGCAGTGGATCGGACTGGTTGCGTGTGGGTCCCTCAAGTGAGGAGGAATTTTGAGGCCTAGTTGGGCCATGGAAGGCTGCAGTTGAGTCGTTTTTGGCAGGTATATTTAATATACCTGGCTGGAACCTTCTAACTTGAGGCTTTGATGGGACCAACTTGAGGCATTTTGAGGCCTAGTTGGGCCATGGAAGACCTTAGTTGGGCCTTAGTTGGGCCTTAATTGGGCCATAGTTGGGCCATGGAAGGCCTCAGTTGAGCCGCTTTTGGCAGGTATATTTACTATACCTGGCTGGAACCTCCTAATTTCAGGCTTTGATAGGGCCAACTTGAGGAATTTTGAGGCGTATTCAAAATGACAGATCAAACACGAAAAATGAAGATATTGTGTATCCTTCCTGGTACCCCAAATCCCATCATTTTTCAATTTTGGGACCTTGCCAAAACACTGGGATAGGGATTGAAACAACAGAAGTGGATATTGCAGTACACGATATTTTGCTCATTGCATTCAATATATACATATCTCTACATATATACATATTTATAGAGGTATGTATGAATATATATATATATATACACACATTTAGTCATATATATGTATATATTTGAATGCATAGTAACATATATATATATATACATACATATAGATATATGCATAATTACATATGTATATATATGCATACATGTAGTTATACAGGGTGATGTATACATAATTGCATATATACCTATACATACATTTATATACAGACATATATGATTATATATACTTATATATGTAGATTCGTGTATATGTGGTTGGTTGTTTATATATAAATGTATATATATATACAGCTAACGATGCATATAGTTATGTGTATGTTTCTATATATATATATACACTTGTTTATATATATATATCCGTTTACATATATATATATATATGTTATATATGTGTTTGTACATATATATACCTATTCATATCTATATATATATATATGTATATACATGTTTTACATATGTATATGCATGTATCTATATATATATATATATAATAGTTTGAGATATATATATATATATATAGTCATGTATAGTTTCATATATCTATAGTCTATAGTGTCGTAGCTCTTTGTCGTCCGAGACTCAAAACGAGCAGGATGGCAGAGTACAACCTCGCTTGTTAAGGATGGCAGACCTTTAACCATGAAGTAGATTGTATATAAGTCTCTGTAGTTACATTAAATGTATATAGTATGCGGTTAAATGCAGTTGGTTTCAAATTGCCGATCCATGGCTACCCCATGGTACCCTTCGATCCATGGCTACCCCATGGTACCCTCCGAGCAATGGTGAGCTATGTCCCGAGGTCGCGGAGAGTTTCATCGGCACTCCTGGAGCCTTTGTGGATTTGGAAACCACCATCAACGACTTCGAGGAGGTTGTTGTTGGCAGGTTTGAATGAGTTTGTTTTTTCGAACAAATTCGACATTTGGACCCCAAAATCAAATAAAATCATAGAAAATCATTGATATGTCCAGATTCGCTGATGCGTGACCTATATTAAATTTGAATATGTGAGTCAAGCACTTTTTCTTATAGAATTCCAAACATAAGTAGCATTCCAACTGTTTACCATGAGTTATCATCTGGTAAATTAACATAGACCCCGAAAATCACTTAGTTTCAGTAGAAACGATACAATCTTCCAAGCCCTATCTGGCACCGTCTATGTTAATTTTACAGATACTAATTGCAGGTAATCAAACATGGCAATGGAAAATCACCTATGTCATTCTCTTTCTATGGGTAATTTACCAGGTGGTAAGTCCTTGCCGAAATCATCCACAATTTTCCCAGGCATCGGCTAGGATATCGTTTGCAGCATCGGTAGGTCTTGTCCGGCAACTGCGACGACATCCCCGAGGCCTGGTTAACGGAAAATTGTGCCATGGAGATTGGTTTTAACAAGCATGGTGGAAAACTATGCGTCAAGATGATGGTTTATAGGATTTGATGGTGGGTTTGATATGATTTGATAGTGTGATTTAAGATGATGTTTATTATGGTATTGCATAACATCCTGCAAAAAGTCGTCTCCAATCATCCGCAATGTCTCCAAGGCTTTCCCTGCGAAAGCGTGGCGGCAACTTGTGGAGCCAATGTTCAGACCAATAATCAAGTAGCAAGTTTTTGGGCAATAAGTCAATGATTTTGGGAGCCAATGATGGTTGGGCCTGGTGGGCCTATAGTGTAATGTACATAGTCATCATAGTCATAATGTATTGATACAGCAGCTTGATGGTGTGGTGATGTCTTGCGGATGTAGTCGTGGAGTTGTCACAGAATATGTCAGCTAATTAGAACAAGGTTGAACCCATCGCAACGATTGAATCCGTTGCGACCGAGTCCCACAGATGATGGTTAGATTACGGGGAATCATCCCCTGTTATGGCCGAACTATTCAGGTTAGTGAATTATTCTAATTTACCCAGATATATTGCGTGTTTTCATTTCGTATACATGGTGGAACCTGTAGTGGAACATGGTGCTATAGGTAAAATATTTATCATCTATATCATACTTGGGTATCTGTTTGTTTCTGATGTCGATTGTGCGTTGAATTCTGTATGTTTGTTTTGGATACAATTTGAATGCGCTGCAGAAAGGAGTTCCCCTGCCATTGTCAACCTGGCTCAGGTTGTTCGCCCTTGGACAGCTGCTTGGAAAATGGCCGCATGCCCTTACCGAAGGTTGTGCAGGCCGCTGGGCTGGTGTCGGTGTCACAAGATCACTGTCTGATTACAGTGCCAGACTGTCAGACGATCATCGTGAGAGTTCAGCAAGCAAAGATATTAACAAAAAACCGGTTGTACTGGAACACGGAGTCATACAGAACGATATTGTAGAGAAAGTAGATACATGAATTGATTCAGCTCATGTGAGCCTGGAACGATGTTTCTTTTTGGTAGCAGAGATCTGCCCTGACGCATCGACAAATGGGCTGCAGACATGATGTGTGTTGGGTGCCTTGAAGCCAAACATGTAGCGCTGGTGCAGAGTACCAATCAACTGGCTTGCCCAACAAATGATTGTGCAGTATGATGTCAGCATAGCAAAATTAATCTATCCTGTGGGTCTGATGTGAAGTCACATTTGCTGGTAGCATACATGGGTTCGAGCCAGTCGTTGTCGGTAGCGTGTTGATGGCGCAGCCGCAATCCGCGCTGATTTGCACGCTGAGCAAGCCAGTGGTGTAGAATCATGATGATGCACGTGCATTAGTCGATGATGCCACGGAAGGGAAAGAGCATCTGATCTTTAAGGCTGGGGTTGGTTGATGAAGGGGAGAATGTTGGTTGGAGGTTGAGTGAGCACTGTGATACATTTGAATTTGAGTTGACAAATGGGTGCAAAATTCATGTGGTTTTTAACCGATTTGATCTATCTGTGTGGCAACATAGCAGGGAGT